TCTTTCATGCTACCTTACTTTTTTTCTTTTTTCTTTTTCGAGTCGGCTTGGGCCGAGCCTGCGCCTAGTCTCGGTTTGATCGAGCCTTGAGCCGAGCCGGCTCGAGCTTTTTGCAGGCTGAGCCACAGGCGGCCCGAGCCTTTTTGCCATCATTAGATCCGATCGACCATTAAGAAAAGCACAAATGTCTCTATGTTGTCATAAGATACTGTATGAAGACTAATGCTTGTTCATAGTAATCTCGATATGGTATAATTTACTTTACCAAATACCTTGTTTGGTTGGAAATAAAAGTAGATTTTTAGAAAATTTAAATAAAAGTTGGTGGATGTGTGGTTGAAAATTTGTGGATCCCATAACATATAGAATTAAAATTAATTATTGACTTTAATTTTGATTAAAATCTAAATTTTAACACCTACCTAATGGGGTAACTATTCTCAAGAATTTATTTTCCATCCCAAAAAGGTGCTTTTGTTATTCACGTTGAGCAAGTGCTTTTAATTGTCTGTTAAAGAGTCAAGATAGAGACATAACCAACTGTTATCTGCGAAGTCATTTCAATAATAATAATAACCAGCAACAATCCATTTATGTGTCTTTTCATAGAATATTGAACAGCTGCAAAAAAGATTTATTTTCGCTGGCAAATATTCATTTGAATAATGTTATCATAACATGGTGAGAATCTTCTATAAGACAATAGTCGACAAGACCAGAGTTAACTGTATTGTCTTCTTTTAACCGTGTATTTAATCGTGTCACGTATAGGATACATTTGACATAAATTTTGCTTTTGCTTTTGCTTTTATATTTTATAATTTTTTTTTTTAGAAAGTTACTTTGATTTTTGTTTGAAAACTAACTTCAAAAGTAGCTTTCTAAACCGAATGTACTTTAAAGAAAATCACATTAAACAAACTTTTTTCAAAAATTCTTCTAACTAAAAAAAGTACTTTCGTAAAATTAGCAACGGATCCAAAAGTAACTTTTAGGTCTCAAAAGTTCCTTGTGATTTCTTAAGAGTCAAGCCGAATGGACCCATAGTCTATTATAAATTCTTGTTTTGATTTTATACAATAATCTTGATAGTCGAGACTTGATATTGAAATTAAGTAAAATTGCATTTAGCTTGTGGTCGTAAGATTCTAACTCTAGCCATATTTTGCACATAATATCAAACGACAATGCATAGAAACATTGTAAACACATAATCTTTGTTCTCTTTCTCCATATTATAGTAAAATCTCCATCTTCTGCAAATCATTTTCTTCTTGTATTTCTGTGATCTTTACTTCATATAATTATCTTAATTTCTTTTCTATGCATAACAAATTGGTATCGGAATTGTTTTGCTTTTAATAAAGTGGTTTCAAATCTGGTCCAATCCATAACATCAACATTAGACCAAATAGGTTCCATACGGGCAATGGATATTATTGGCCCCACTCAAGGAAATTATTTTCCAAACTACCCAAGAAATAATCAAGATACACACGTGACATGTACCAACCCACACTTCTAGCCAAGCTATATAAACCCTCTCAAGATAACAAAAATAACACACGAAAGTACCTAAGAGAAAATGAGTCCTTTCTTCTCTTTCATTCTTCCAACCCTCTTCCTCTCCTTCCTGACCTCAACCCACCCCATCAATGGCCAGAACTTGATAAACAGAACGTGCAAAACGATCACACGTGGTGATCCAAACATCGGGTACAACTTTTGCACAACTTCTCTACAGGCAGCACCAGCCAGCCAGTGTGCAAGTTTACCAGGGCTCGGAATTATCTCGATCAGACTCGTACGTTACAACGTCACAGATACACGTTGTCATATCAAACACCTGATGAAACACAGGAAATTTGATCCTTATTCAAAACCATATTTGAAGGATTGCTTTGAACTTTTTTCTAATGCAATCTCTTCTGTGAAGCTGGCCATGAAATATTACAATTCGAAACGATATGATGATGCTAATATACAAATAAGTGGTGTAATGGATGCTACTACAACTTGCGAAGATGGATTTAGCGAGAGAGAAGGGTTAGTTTCTCCACTGACAAAGAGAAATCGTAATACGTTTGAACTTGCTGCTGTCGTACTCTCTATTATGCAAGAGATTCAAAAAGGATCAAATGTCTGATTTTTTATCAGCGATGTTATGATTAATTACATTTTCACGATCATTTAAGTTTCTTGTTTACATGGGATTTCTTTGTTTTCATCTTAAATATTATGATAGACAACTATGACGTTTCAAACCTTTCTTGGAAAGTGATTTCAATGGAAGAGTGACTTCTACTTAATATTGTCTTAAACTTCGTGGTTAAACTAAATATTGACCTTCCATACTCCATAGTTACACCATGTTTCGTTTACCCAAACCAACACAATTTCATATTAATGCCAAGTCTTCGTCTGAAGGAATTTAATAAAAAATGAAGATTAACCATTGTAAATTAATTTGATAATATATAAATTGATTCATAAAATTTGTCAAACAGAAAGAAAGTGATTTATGAGCATTTTTTGTGCACCCGGTTATTCCCCAAAATACATTATTTTATAGTCGATCGTTCCCAGTGCCGTTCAACTAGAAGCGTGCCCACACTTTTCTTCATGACAGGCCGGGCCACAACTTTTTTCAGTCATTGTTTTCATATTGATTTTTCTAATACATAATATAACTATCATTACTGTAATTTACTTGCTTCCAAGTGACTTTTGAAGAAGATTTTATCACGTATTTATTTTGGAAAATGAAATGGTCATCAATACATGAAAATTATATAATTGTGAGGATGAATTACAATTATTTTGGCAAATAAAAAACACAACTTTCTGAAGTGCTTGAATTGAACTTCTCGAATTTTCATCAGGTGGCATGTCCCTTTTAATATGTAGAACGATTTATTTATAGTGTTCAACAAGCAGGGAGGTTTTGAACCCTGTATGTGAAAGGTGGACAAACCAAACCAAAGAAGAGCTTGAGGCCCAGGCTCAACATGAGTCACTATTACTTGTTCAACCCTTGCAATTTAGTCATGTATAGTTACAGTTAGAACCAGAGTGACTTTTAAAAATATCAAGTAGATAAGATTATCAACATATACTCCAATCAAAAAGTCACCAAATATGAAACGACTTGGGTTAAATTCAATCACACTGCTGCTCACTTAATATCTTTGAATTGATGCAATTTATCATCCGACAACGTGGTGTTGCTTCGGTGATGTGGCAATACCACATGACAACATATCTCCTGCCCACCATATTGGAATTTTACAAAAAAGCCACTAACCGACGATTTGGAAGGTACAATGAGATGCATGAACTAGTCGTAGACATGAATACTAGCACTATAATTGAGTAAAGGAACCACTCGTGCAATACTCTCATCTGTAGGTTTGGGTGCAGTTTGGTTTGGATCGATTTCGACTCCAACCAAAATCAAATTAATCAGCTTGGGTGAGCGTCAACCCAAACCAACCCACCCTAACTTCTAAACCAAACCGCAAATTAGATGGATCAACTGAGAACTTAAGAATTTTGTTATTTTTTATGTGTTATGTAACATGATTTGCCTGAGTAGGAGAAAAAAGGCTAAATATAAACTTGTGAAAGGAAATTTCCGACTATTACATACTAACAACATTATAAATTTAAGGGAATCGAGATACGATTATGAGATTAGGCCTAATCTTTTGATTTTTATTTTTCTTAAGGAAGAAAGGTAAGTGGATTGCATTGGTTCGGTTAACCAATGGCTTGAAACTTCAAACCATGACCGAACCAACCCGCCATAATTTTGTTTAAAAGAAAATCAAACCAAATCAATTACTTATGTCAGACCGACCTGACTCGATTTGGTCTGATTGGTTTTATCGTTTTTTTTTTCATTTTTTGGCCCAGGCCTACTCATCTGCCCCTAAATTCACTCAGTCTACTTGTGAAAGACTAATAGTAGGTTTTTTAGTCATGAAGTTCATTGTGAACAAAGTTGAGGCTTCCGTAATTTGTCCATATCATTTATGTACGCAAAGCACGGGAAGAAAAACTCGCAAAGATCTGAAAACGTGAAAACCAAAGGGAAGTATGGATAACAATAATCAGACTGGGAAAGAACAGTTGTGCCTACATGTTCAATTTGAAATCCTGGAAGACAAGCTACAAGAGTATTTGATTTACTGTTTTTCTCTGACAATTTAACTCGATTAATTTTCATAGATTAGTGTAAGCTTCTCCTAATGAAAAGAAATATCTGCATAACGCACAGAAACATCTCAAATTCACAAAGTAAAGACAAAAAATAATAAGATTTTTAAACCCACTGTGGAACTACTCTTTTTATCCAGCAGCAAATTTATTTCCCAACCCAGGATCAAATTTCTACAACATCCCAACAAGGCAAACACGGACAGAATGCAATGTCTCATTGTCTCAAAGAAATGATAACATAGAGCAAAAAATTCGAACATAACTCAGCTAGCCATTGGATGGTTATAGACATACTCGATTGCAAGAGTGCAGGAGTCGATTTTATCAGCTTCCTTGTCAGGAATCTCCAGCTTAAACTCTTCCTCAATAGCCATCACAATCTCCACATTGTCCAAGCTATCTAAACCCAGATCCTTCTGAAAATGAACATCAGGTGACACCTGCACAAGAAAACCATCAATTTTGATGCTAAATGCCTGCTGTGTAATACCCCCAAAATCCTTTATAGTCGTTACTTATAAAATTAGGACTTTAGCGTAAGAGGATGAAAATTAGAGGACCAAATTGCACATCGACCAGTAGTTGAGGGACTACGAGTGCAATTTCTTAAACTATATATTTATGATATGAATATTTATAGTACATGTGTATTGATATATAATATTGTATATAATTAGGATTGATTAATTTAATAGTATGATTACTATAATTACGTATATCTATATATGAATATAATTATATTTAATTTTGATTGATTGATTTAAATTATATGATTATTATAATTACATGTATCTATATATGTATATAATATTATTGATTATGGAAATTCAAATAAACTTCTATCTATATGAAAGATAATTTCCATATATATAAAAGATAAATTAAAAAGATTCATTTCTAAATGAGTAAACTACCATATATATATGGCCCCATTTGATACCCATTTTTTTCAAAATGCATTTTTTTCTCTCATATTTTCAACCACACATTCTTTATTAAAATAATATTACACGTAAATCAAGAACATTTTCTTACTTTTCAACCATATATTTTCCATCAATTTACTATTCAAAAATGCATTTTTAGAAGAAAATGGGTATCAAACACAAGTATAACTATATATAATTATGGTCAATTGATTTCACATTACGTGCGTCTATGTATGAGTGATTTAAATTATAGTGTTACTATAATACATGCATCTATACATGTATAATTGTATATCATTACGATTGATTGATTTAAATTATATGATTTCCATAATTATGTGTATCTACTATATGTGTGTGTGTATAACTATGGTTGACACACACTACACAATTCATAAACGATTGTTTTAAGGTCCAAAATCTTCCATACGTATTTTATCAAATCCTCTTCGGATTTACGAGGTAAGTGTAGTCATACGCTATATGTTAAATCGTTTTTCATACTTGAAAATACAAAATTCCAAGTTATGAATATGATAAGTTCTATATGTTTAAGTTCAAAGAATCGGAGATTAGTAGCATACGCACGGGAATTATAGCAATGAAGTACGGTTCTTAATTCCTGTATCTCCCTATGTATGTTATGATTATGTACAGAGATTATGGCCACCTAAGTTCGGTTTTTAATTCCCGTGTCTCCTTATGTACGTTAAGAATTCATAAATTTTAAATATGAGTTACAGATTATTTGGCTCACTTTGACGTTCGAGGCATTGAAGACTAGAACGGGACTCTAGTGGTATAATAAAGAAAAAAATGATTATGATTTTCGAGTAATTATTTAATGTTTATGATTAAGTATTTGTTTTTAATTATTATTATTATTGTAAGTTTAAGAACGAATATTTATTTATAAAAAAATTATTTTACGATATACTCTAATGATCCAAAGGAAAAAATTTGGGTCGTTACAATGCGACTATCAGAACAAAAGCAATACTGGATCCATTTGAAAGAGAACAAAGACAGTTTGACACATCAGTTATGTCATCAATATCTGACCTGAGATTTGCAGAACAAAATCTATTCTTACTACACATTGGAACGTATAGAATGACAACTACATGTGGTTAAATTTCACAGAATGATGTTTACTGCAATAGTATTTACCAGCATCAATTAATTTCTGAGCTAAAAAATTCAGAGGTTATAGTAGAAAAACGTTTTATAGATCATATATTTATATTCAATTATAATTATAAGGTTCTGTGAAATAGATGTTCTATTGAATATAGTGCTTACCTTTTTTGTAATTACACCACCAAGAACTAAATCAGATATAATGCTTTATTTATTATTTCTGGGGGCACATACCTTGATTGACTAAGATAAAAGCACACTGCAAAATGAAGAATAATTCTCACAATCCCTATTCTATATAGTAATGTTATAAACAGTTAAACCAATGGAATGCAAGAATGTTCACGAACAATATGTTTCAGAAGTCATTAGTGCTAGTGCATAATCCATTGCAGATCAAGAAATGGCATCCTGTAAAGAGCCCTAAAAGCAGCCATGTGGCAGCCACAGAAGTGAGAAAGACAGAGTAGCTACAAATACATTACAGGAACTAGAACCATATAGAGCCATAACCATTTGTCAACTTCCATCTACGAGATCGGAGATTCTCTTTAATATATCAAAGTCCACACATAACAAAAAGGTGTTTATGAGCTGACTATAGGCCAAGTTATGCACTTATGCTTATAAGTTCACCTTTTCAACTATCACCTAAATATTTTTCAAATTGAACCAATTTCGTAACAGAGGGAATGATACCTTTCTAATAAATCTAGGTTAATGATATTTAAACCATATGCAAGGTGCATCTAAACTATACACAACAGAAGAATGTTGCTAACATTGGAACATACAATCACTACAAATAGAACTCCACTGATCCAAAGAGTGACAATGGAGAAAAATAAGTACTAGCAAGACAAGGATGGACCTCTAGATATGACCTGTTAAACTGACATAATTTTAGTGGTTAATATTAGTCTTAATGATCATCAGGTAAAAACAGGTGAACATTTCTTAATCATTTTTCTAACTAACCTTTTCATTAAAACCTGGTTCAACCCTTAATATCCATTCAACCCTGTTAACTGGTTAAGTAACTGGCTCAACCTCATAACCTGTAATAATTATGGCCCAAACATACAAACCATGTATGAAAAGGCCTATTATGTGTCAAAGAATACATCTCAGTTATTTATCAGAAAGACAAGAAGAATAAAACCCTGATTTTTGAGTTGGGCAATTTTTTTTATTTTTTATTTTGGAAAATAATTAAGAACTAACTGCGCAAGTTTAATGGACATTTTTGCCGGACATTGGGTAATGGCAAATTGGCTGTGTATAGGTTTGAGCAAAATGACCTACTTTGTTGGACAGGAGATTTCAAGTTAGGAAATACCTCTAGATACCAGTGTTTCAATCTCCGACCTGATTACCACCTCACTGAAGACTTTCATTTCAACAAAAATTGTAAACACAAACGATATATAGAAATATTTATTGTGTGTAGCTATAAGATTATCTCCTACAATTAACTTGTAAGGAAACTAACAATATTTCTGAATACACATGCAAACATACCAAAAGAAATGTTTACAAGAAGCCAACACAAAATTGTGACCTGAATTAGATTGTGTCTAATAATCAAGCAAACTGATCAGATGGATACCAAGCATACCACAGATTTTTCACCTAAAAATGATTTCTTTGCCAAATCAAAGGTTTTCTTTTATCGTTCAAAATATGAATATAATATGTATAAAAGCATTAGTGAGTGGCCTCCAAACTCCCATAAATGATATATGAACGCATGCATGTTTTGGAAAGATGTCGGAATTTGTAATGATGTAAATCATGTAATCCAACCTATCAAATGAACTACTTAACAGGAGCATGCATTCCTCAGTGAATTACGCCTTGAACTTTTTGTCCAATATATAAATGTTGAAATCTGAACCCCTAGCCTAAAATCATGAATTAGGCAATCAATTTGGAAGCTTCCAATTGGATTTACAAGTCAGCAATTTTTCTCCTAATCAAGCAAATCCTAGAGTTGAAACTGATATCCTGAGTTCGTATCAATTTTCTTGTCATTCATCCTAGAGTAAACTTGTGCTCGAAAATGACCAACTCAAACTATTAGGGGAAAAAGAGCCAAAAAAATAAAAAATAAAAAATAAAAACCTTGCATTTCTGAATCACGGAAGCACATGTTGAAACCCTTTGCCGCGCAAAATGGCCAACTAGAATTTCCATTGTAATCACTAAGGATGCTATATAACATTTCTAAGGTTTTGTTTGACAACCATTCTATCACATTCTACTACATTATTTTTCTACGGTACTCATTTTAATCACACATTCCTCATTAAAATAATATTGCACATAAATAAATAAAAATTCTTTCTTTTTTAACCAAACATTCTTCGTCTGTTCCATAGTACATTATTCACAAATAATGGGCTCAAACACCCCCTAAATTTACACCGTATTTACAGTCAACTAATAAAAATTGAGATTTTCAAAAATCATTTTTCGCTATATTCATTTTCACCCACACGTTGCCATTTTTTTCCATTTACAAGTTCCTCAAAAAAGTCATTTGTCAACTGAAAAAATCTCTCCCAAACCAACGTTATATATTAGAACCCGTCAAATAAATCTTACACCGAAATACAATAGCATCATACCCTAACAGCAATCAAGAATACTTGTAAAGAATTTCAGAATTCGTGATGCAAGAACAAAAAATTGCGCTAATAAAGACAAATCGCAGAGTTGACCTTTGAGGGATCGACTTTGGGGAAGCTCTTGACGATGTCGAGGACTCGGTTGATGACTACTTCCTTGTCGAGGTGATCGTCGCCGTGAGATGACATTGATCTTACGGCCTTCATCTTGGATCCATTTAGGATTAGGGTCCGGAAGACTGGGACCTGGATGTGCCGCAGTATGCTTGATCTCAATACCGATGCCATTACCCTCTTTTTTTATCTGAGAAATGCTGAATCCTCTCTTTCTAGTTGGTAAGAATTGAGGTTTTAGGGTACTTGCACATATATATGCTAAATTTTGAAATAATGAAATTTTTTGGAAGAAGCGATACTAAAAAGTAAGAAAATATTTTAGGGGTAAAATATTTTATAGTTAATATACGTGATTGAAAATAAATTTAAAAAAAAAAAATTGTATTCATAATTGTCAAATAGGGCAGGGTATTTTAACTTAACAAATGGGAAGATCCTAGTATATTTTTTGATATCTCGACCCAGTGCACTTTAATGTCCTACCTAAGGCTGTAAATGGATCGATATTGGAGTAGATCTGCCCAAATTCGATCCGATCCTTTAAGAAAAATTATCATATTCGATCTGATTCGATAATTTAACGGATATTTAATTATTAAATCCATATTCGATTTGTTATGTTATCGGATATCCGATCTGATAATCCGATCCGAATTTGAAAAAAATTATTTTTTCCACCATTTTTTGGGTAATATGATTTTTTTCCCAAATAATATTTTAACTATCTTGATGGACTCACCTATTATATTAGAAGGCACAAATCAATTTTTTATCCAAGTGATGCTTCTTTAGTTTCTTTTTAAAGGAGACTCCTCTTGAAATATTTTAGTAATCTTTCAATGTGGAATACTAACTTCTTAAATGATACTCCTTTTCAATATTTTAGTAATCTTTCAGTGTGTGATATTAGTCAATTGTCAATTCTAAATATAACTAATTTATTTTATTATTTTCATTAAAAATCATAGCATCAACAAGATTATAATCACAAATAATATCAATTTAAACAATGTAAATTATTTTTGGACATATTACTTATTAGTTTTTGATGTTATAAAACAAATTACTATAGTTATTTTTATCTTATTTTAATTAATAAAAAAATTAAATCTTTTCGAATATTTCAATTAACAATATTATACTATATCTAATATTATTTATTATTTGAAAATTATGTGTAAAGCATAATATAAGTTTCAAAATGGAAAAAATTATGTTTACTAAATTATGATGTAATATATAAAATATATTATATTATTATACTAAAATGGATCAGATTGTTATCGGATCGGATCGACATATATCAATTTTTGCTCCATTTAGTTAACAGATTATTAGATTCGGATCTTAATTGGATTGTCGGACTGAGATTCTAAATTCATCTCTCATTAATTTTATCGGATTCAGATCAAAATCCAATACATTGACAGCCCTAATCCTACCGGTTGATATTGTTAAGATAATGTGACCTATCACAATGTTAAAAAAATATGGAAACAATACATAAATCATACATATAAGAAACATATTTTAAAACTAACAAACTTCACAAAAATCAAGTGATAATCAATTTATTAAATTTTTAATTATAATATAATATAATTAATCACATCAAATTTTAAATACAAACCCTTCTCTTTTTCTCTTTACTCTCTATCTTCTCCCTACTCTTCTTCCCCATCAGAGGCGACCATCGGCTCTGGCAAGTACTTTGACAATCGCTCCGACGACTGCTCCGGCTCCTCGCGATGGAAAATTCTCCAAAAATTTAAAACAATTTCTCTCTATCTCTATTGTAGAAAAATCTCCAAAATTTTGTCCGTGACCATATTTATTGTTCGTGAATATACTTGTGTTTTATGTGACTTTATGTGATCAAATTTGTTTTCGCTGTAACTGTATGTGATTGACTAATTTGTAACTGTATGTAACCAATTCATTGCCCTATGTTATTTGTAAGACTAAACTTGTCTTTGATTTGACTAACTGTGATCAAATTTGTATTCAGTGTGACTGTCTGTGATCATGTCAATTTAATTGTGACCAAGTTAGGAAAATTTTCAAAAATTTAACCATGACAAGATTTATTGTTCGCAACTATACTTGTGTTTTATGTAACTATTTGTAATCAAATTTATTTTTGTTGTGATTGTATGTGATCGTGTAATTTATAACTGTATGTAACTAATTCAATGTAACCAATTCACTGAAATATGTTATCTGTGATTAACTATGATCAAATTTGTCTTTGATGTGATAACTGTGACCGAATTTGTATATAGTGTGATTGTCTTGTGACCAAGTCAATTATGACCATGTCATAACCGATCACAATCAACAAAAAGTTGGTCACAAACAGTCACAACGAATACGTAATTGGTCACATGGGGTTACCACAAATAGATCTACACACACCTCAGTTCAATATCACAATCCACCACCATCACCTCCAATGCACCACCACTACCACCTTCAACTCAAATTCACGACCATAAATACTACATTCATTCGTTTGTGTTATGAGTAGCTAATTGTGACTATTTGTGATCATGCCAGTCTAATTTGTGACTCTATGTAATCAAGTCACATACAGTCACAGTTAAACAGATTTGGTCATATTTTCGGCACCACCACCACTTCACATCGTCAAGTACCAAAAGTGCACCACCTTACCATGACCACGTGCACTACCAGCAATAGAACCATCACCAACAGAACCACCAACAATAACAAATAAAAATATTATCGGCACCGTTTATAAAACACCAACAACCATCCCTAATCATTTTCAAAAAGGAAAAAAGAAAAACCAATATCCGTCCTCCCAAACCATGGTGGCGGCGGGTAATCTCAAATTACAAAGCCACCGCAAGCAACAACGGCAAAGCAAGGCGTAGCAGCAACGAGACCTTGTTGCTCGTACTTCTCCTTCGTGCACAGTGGTACCGAAAAGATGTGGTAGAGAGTTAGTATGTATAGAGGATGAGAGAGAGAGATAATGATTTGGGAGTTTTGTGGTGTGGTAGGGTGGGGGGTTGGGTTGGGTTGGGTCGGGATGTAAATTAATTTAATTTTATAATTTGAATTAACCTTATTACAATCTGATTTTTGAATTTAAAACTAATCCTAATTATTTATGAAAATTGATCTTTAAATGTAAGTTTATAGGTAATTTTCCCTAAAAATATATGAAAAAAAATAGTTAGTTGGAGGATGGATCTCGACTCTCCATGTGCCTATCCCTACTTTACCTTTACATTTATTTACTCCATTCTCTCTTCTTCTTTCTTTTATAGTTTCTATGCACGACCAAGGTCAAATTAAGAACTAAAATAGAAGTGGTTAATATAATCTCCAATGGTCTACATATTTGGTGTAATTTGTTGGAAACTCTCCAATGATTACACCAAATTTGGTGTAAAAGTTTTGGTATAGACCATTGGAGAAGGTTTTACACTAAATTTTACACCAAACTTTATTTTGAATTATTTTATACTAAATTTTATTTTACAAATCATATTATTTAAAAATCGTTAACTTAGAAATTATATTTAAATAAATTATTCCAGTGCTAATATATTGCCCTCGTTTGCCCCCTATTAATTTTCATTCCATTACATTTCATTTTTCTCTCTCTTATTTTCAACCACACATTCTTCCATGAAATAATATTACACGTAAACAGAAAATTTTTCATTCTTTTTCGACCACTCATTTTTCAAAAAAAAAATATTATTCCAACTATTTTCATTTCTACAAAATGAGGGCCTAACATGGGCATTAATTATCAAATTGGAAACTTTTACTTTTATAATAAACAATTTAAATTTATTGTTGAAATAACTATTACTGATTAATGGATTAGAATTTAAAAATAAATATTATCACATTTGAATAATTATGAATCAATTAAAATTTATTAATGTTAAAATATTAAATAAGGACATAGATGAAAGAAATAATTTTTATAAAGTGTGAACAAAAAGAAAATGGGATGTCATGGAAAATAAAAACAGAAGCTATTAAAGTTCATGCTAAATAATATAATGAATCATCGAAGCTCAAACAAAATGATACAAAACTAGCTATATACAATTAGTTGTCATGATATGAAAATAGTTGTTCATACTGTAAATACTAAAATCTAGTTAATATGTGTCAAGTATTTGTTTTAGGTAGGTTTCGTCAGTTAGTGAGAACTTCCTCCCGACAATTTTAAACACCGTTCTGACTAATAGAACTTAACAAATTGGAGTTCTATGGATTTAATCAATTGCTAAATAAATAAGATTGAACACCAGATATAAGGTGGTATATTCCCAAGGAAAAAATCCATGGCCACATGCCATGGGTAAAATAATCTATTACCAAGAATAAAAAATACAATAGTTTCGATTATGTAATTTTGCAAAATTAACAAAAATAATCAAAACCAAATAAAGAACAACTCCCTTGTTTTCTTTCTTCTTTTGACTTTTTGGGAAGGTAGAATCAAACCCTCCAATCTTAACTTTACCACCACTTCACTATTGTATTCGACTGTAACCACTACTTGGATTAAGATTCACCAATTTAACTCATGTCAAGTAGCCTGATTTTTTAGTAGAATTATATCATTTACGCTCAGGTGTGTTCTTATTGCGTTTTTCTATTGCAAATATACAATATCGAACATGTAATATACTGGACCTTTGAATCTGGATTATCGTTCTCGCGAAAACTATACTTTAATTCCTAATTTAATATTTCTAACTACTATTTGACAAAAATAAGCAAAAAGTTGTGATTGTTAATTTGTTTTAAATACTTGAAAATATCAAAATTTCACATAAAAGTTGGTTAAAGATTCAAATATGGGATCAATCTATGAGCATAACAATTTCATCTATTGATCACATTTAAATCTTAATTTAAGATTCATAAGCTACTATAGTGTTCGATCGAATTCTTCTATTGTATTTAATTCACTCATCTCGAGTTTTCATTGAGAATGTTTAACTAATCCAATTCCATATCTTTATATGAATCAAGCTTAGTTGAAGTTAAATGAAATATTATTTTTTAATATGTGGTCTAAATCTAAAATTACTTTTAAAATTTATCTAAGATTGCAGTAATTAATATATGTATCTTTACACATTATATTAAATTACTGAATTTTTAATATGTGGTATAAATCTAAAATTCACCTTTCCATTCGTAGTAGATTCACGGAGTCATTGAATAATTGGCCAAAGAATTCAAAGTAGTGAGT